GCTTGAGAGAAGGTAAGAAATTTTTACAGGAAATCCAAAATGCAGCTAAGTGCTGCCACTAGATGTCAGTAGCAATAAAGATGATTGACGCGATGAAATGTAGGTCAGCGTGACTGAGCAATTGATTTATCTCAATCAGTGCAGTGGCTGGTGTGTGAGCTTTGTGGATTCGTCGGTGAACAAATATTTGGGTTAAAACGCTTAAAGTTCTTTGTCTTGGGGAAAATTAAGCCAAGCCACACTCGCGTTTATCCCAGTTTTCTAGTTTACAGAACATTTAGTGTCCGATGTAACTGACTTTAGAAGTGTGGTGATTCCCATTAGGCCCAGATAATGCTGTCTGCCTGCTCCCAGGAACAGGACAAGCAGCTGTGAGGTCTGTCTGTGCTCCAGGAATGGTGTTGCTGTGAGTGTGGCCAAGTGCCCAGAGCTCAGCTGTGTCTGCGTTTTGGCGGTCAAAAATGCCCCTGTTTGTAGGTCTGGTCTGGTGCCAGGAGTGTGCTGGCAGCTCCAGAAGTGCCCTTGTCATGGTGTGAGCCTGAGCGGAGGGGCAGGGGGGGTTAATTAGAGTTCTGCAGCTGATCTAATTGCAGGCTGGGCCAGTTAGTTCACCAGAATTATTTCTCTGGGCTGTGAAACAGGTGGTAGATAAAATCCAGTCTGACTCCAAACTGAAACTGTTTCCAAGACCCAATGCACTGGGATTTTAGCTTAAGAAGAAAAAAGAAAAAAAAAAAAAACCAAAAAGGCCATATACTTGGTTTTATTGTCACGGGGAAGGCTTGGTTGTATACTCTGCTTCTAATTCTTGCTGTATATATAATGGCAATGAGTTTCTTTTCATACAGATTTTTCTCCTGCATATTTTAAAATAGGAATGTTTCTTATGATAACAGACTTCCTAATGTGTTTTCTTTTTTAGAAAACCTGAAGTACTTAACTGAGTTGTTTTTTTTTAATCTTCTGTCATTTCCTACATTCTGCGTTTGAAATTAACAAGCCAGCAAAATGTACGTGAGGTTTCAGTGGCTCAAAGCAGCTTATGCAATGATAAAATGTATTCCATGGACAACGACCCAGGATGCTAGGCTGGCGTTTCTGATGGTTGTAGTTACCCAGTGCCCAGGAAGCATGTTTCTTTATGAGCTTTCACGTAGGACAGCCTGTCTGCTGGTCTGGGGGCCAGAATGAAAGAATTCAGCCAGCTGTAACACCTAACTTAATTACAATGCTAAAATGCCAGAAAAATCTCAGATTTACTGTAGTGGTAAGCAGCCATCCTTGCTCTCAATATATGCGTCCTGTGAATTCACCATAAAGCCATGTAGGAGCATGGTTTTCCTGGGCATTGAATGCTGATTTCATGCTGCCCTCTAGAGGCCATCTTTTTTGAACAGAAACAAATTCGGTGCTATGATGGGAAACCATCCCTACCCCAGAAATGACAGCCCTGCTCCATAACTGGCTGCATACATAGGCACAGGCACACCTTTGCCAGCTGAGGTTCGAATCAATCACTGCAAAGCAGGAGTGCTTAGACAGAAACTTTCATATGTTTCCCAATTCTTGTATTTCCTCTTGGGAAACACAGTCGTTTTCTTTTTAATCCAATTGTTGCCCAGATAATTAATTTGAAGCGTTATGCAAATAAAAGGACGTTGCCAGCCAAGTTTCCATTCTAAACTTTTAGACTGAAAGCTCTGAATTACTTTCCTTACAGACAATAGATTTGTATGAATATATGCAAAAATATTAGTAACAATTCCATGATTAAAAATAAAGTGTCCCCAGGCTGCTTTTCTTGAATTAATACTGTATGTAAGTGGCTGAACCAGGATAGGTTTGGGTCCAACCTACGCCAGCACAGCCAGGCACAGATTTGGTCCCACCATCCTCAGGGTGCAGGAAAGGCCCTGTACTGTACGTGGCCTCACTGCAGGCCCTCAGGTTGACTCATCATGTACTTGTTGGTGTGTTTGGTTGTATAGCCAGGCTTAACCAGGTAGACTGTAAAGTGAGATGAAGTATTTTGATGAGATTTGAAGAGGCCTAAGATACTGCAGTGAGACAATCAATGTGGCATACACTGAGCTCAGCCATCTTACGGAACAACGTTTAGGCTTGTTCATAACAGCGGGGGGAGAAAAAAAATAACGTACTGAAGCAAACCAGTCAGTATATAGTTTGTACCTGTGAACTTAACATTGCTTCTCATGTTCTCGAGTGAACCACTGCAGCTTTCCCATGCTTTCATTCATCAGATGGCACACCAGAAAGGCCTGACTGTTGCGTAAGCTGCAGCTAAAGCAAGTGCTGAAAACCTGACACTTGGAAATGAATGGGAGAAGGCCTTGATAGACCTTAGGACTCTATACTGCTGCAGAGGGCTTGGGGGAAAACTGCAGGGGAGCTGGGAAACATGAGTTTTCAATGCATAAGAAGTGGCATTATTGACAGCAGAGCAGAATAAGAAATACGTTAACATTTGCGGTTTTCCTATGTCTTAGCACAATTAATCCCGGTTCGCTAAGCTGTGGTAGGAGTCCTCAGTTCTGTTTCATGGAACAGACACAGTGAACTTGTGTGTCTGTGTGTGGCTTCTTATGTAACGTGGCTGTTAATGAAGATTAAAATGGAAATGTCCCAAGTATCTGAAGTACAGTTCTGTGTACCCAGGAACGTGTGGGTTTTTATGTTCTTTTGAATTGTACGTTTAATTTGTAAAAGTGCATTTTACATGAGTTTATGAAGGGGGTGCTTTTCAAATCTGCTTCTCTGCTATGAAATAAAAGTAGGACCTGGTTTTGCAGGTACCCACTGAATTTCCAAAATAGGCAGAAGAGATGGTAAATTGCCATTAGTTAGAAAAGGAGCTGGAGTCCTGTTGTGTTTGCTGGGCAGTTTCATACATGGAATGCCACGGTATAGGCAATTCCATAACAGAGCAACTCCTGCATTGCTATTTAGCGTTCTTCTTTGGTATCTTACTGAAAACAAAATGCTCAATATGACAAATATTCAACCAGTCAGAACTGGAAGCCACCAGCTCTGCCACGTTATGTTGCTTTGGACATACAGATCTTTTAACACTGGTCTGTCCTCTAGCATTTAGGTGCCATTTCTGAAATGATAGAAGTAGAGAAACTGTAGCTGCTGGTATGAAAACCTAACTGAAAATCTGATTTATTTATAACGCAATTGAGAGAAATGTATGCAATATGAGTTTTATCTGCACCCGTTTGAAATTATGCTGATAAGGCTTAATCCTCCCCCAAGTTATGCAAGCCTTATTTACGGGAATGGCTGCATTGCTTCGGGGCAGCTGTTGGAGCTGCCAGCGCTGTGTGCAGCACACGTGTCCATGCTAAGCACCCTGAGCAGTAGTTTGTGTGGCTGTATTTACGTGGTATCGTATGCAAAGCTGAGGAAGCCTCTGTAAAATGTACCACTTTTAAAATATATATATATATATATACATATAAATATTAAAAAAAAAAAAAAAGTGAGTAACATTTCTATTTGCAACAGTTGTAATTTTTAATTGTGTATGCTACGAAGAGTGTTCTATTTACTCACTGCTTTGGGGAACAACTGTTTTAAAAATGAAGGCATTAATTGACAGTATTTCGTATCCATTGTTTTAACATGTTAAAATGGTTATTAATTAGTCCTGCAGTATGTATTTCTAGCTTAAAGCTGCAATGAACAGCACATCAGCTCGAGACCTCCAAAAACATTTCCTTGTGCTTTCTGTAATAAAAGCAAAGACTTGGTGTTTAGAAATGGTCTCTCTGTACAGGTTGCTTTTACAACTGTGTGAATATGTACAATGAACTCTGCATTTGTAACCAAGAATAAGCAAACTGTAAATGTTCCGGTTGTTATTATAAATAGCTGCAAAGTATCTTAACCAGACAAGAGTTCAAATAAAGATTAATGGCCATTATTCGTATTTCTTCTATTGTCTTTCAGTTCATTTCAGCAGTTCAAAATTGACTTACACAACATCTGAGTTTTACCACTGAAGCTCAGTTAGTTCTAAATCTATGGCAATTTGGTTTGGGATTCCCTATATTAACACAAAACTTAAACTGTTCCTGTCTTTACCAAGTAACTGCAACTGAAAATAATTCTGGTCTGCTGGGTATGTAGTCAGATGGTCTGAGTCCTCTCAGTTGTTATGAGTTTAAAACAAATGAATACAAACACATACTTGAAATGAAAAAATAGAAATCTGGTATCTTTTAGAGTGGAGCATGCCGACGGCTCTGCTGGGGATACAGCACCTACAGCAGCGGAGTGCCGGACGTGTCCGTCCCTTCTGGTTCTTATCTCTGTGCTTTTCTTTAGGGAATTCCATCCCAACATGACCAGGACCATCTCCTCTCACCTGAGGGCAGCGCTTGGCTTCTATCCCACCCGCTGCCTCTGGGGCAGCTGCAGGGGAGCAGGCACAGGAGCTCGACCATACAAGAGGTTTGTTTTACTTTTGCTTAAGGAGCGCGGCGTGTTAAACGCAGCAGCTCTAACCCCTAAGCTACCCTCACAAATCACTCTGAGCCCCGTGTGCTGTTGCCAGCACCGAGCGCTGGTAGAACCTCCCAGAGCGAACAGGACCCGCGGGGTGAAGTCACCACTCCCGCTCCTAGAGGAGCCCAGCCCAGCAGACGGAGGGCAGGCCGAGGCACGGGTGAGTTACGCCGCTCCCCTCGGTGCTGCCGAGGGCGGGCTCGGGAGTGGGCGGGGCCGGGGCCGCAGCATCGCCTTGCGGCACGGAGCGCAGTGCCGGCCGGCGGCCCGCAGGGGGAGCGGCGGCGGGGCGGGCGGGCGGGATGCCGCCCTAAGCGGGCTCCTCCCGCCTGGGCCGGGCCGCGGATACGGCGGCCATGAGGCGAGCGCAGCGCTCTCGCCAGGAGACGCTGTCCTTACGGCGGCGGATCATCGGGTAAGTGCCGGCAGCGTCCGTACCGAGAGCGGGGCGCAGAGCGGGGCTGCGAGCGCGGCGCTCCGGGGCTGCGAGCGCTCCCTGCTCTGAATTGTAACTTCGGGAGAGAGACGGTGCTGAGAGCGAGCGGAGCCTGGGCTTTACTCGTATAATTAGCGTTTAAGGAAGGTTATGAAACAAGGCATCGAGAGCCCTCAAAACACGGATGGCACGGCGCGGCTGCTGGAGCTCAGAACTGCTTACAAAGCGATCTTTGGCCGCTTGGCTCTGAGCGAGCAAACCACGCGGCTGCCGAGCGGCTCCTGGTGCTGCTGACACAGATCGAGAGCCCACCTGTCCGAGCTGAAAACGTCAGAATTAACACACTAGAACTAAGCACAAGACTCATCACCAGGCTTTCAATCACTCGCTTTGTTCCAAACGATTTTAAAAATTCTTGGTTCTGGAGAATGCTACCAGGAACGGCAGCAAGAGCATTTCTGTCTGACCGCAGGAATGTTACATATTTGGAAAGGAAGGCTACCTCCATCCATACAGCCTCGTGCCGACAGAAAGCAGGCTGGGGTCAGTGCTGCAACCAGATCTGTGCTGGCCGCGCTGAGCCGAAGATACCGCCCTGTGCACTGCATCCTGTTGTAACTCATTTGCTGTGTTCCTGGGGATCCAGCCCAGCCTCATTACTGCTTTCTTAGCACAGGCTGAACTGTCAGCGTGATTTTACTGACAAACCTGTTCTGACATCCTACTGCCAGTGCATACGGACGGTGTAGGATTCCTGTAGGGGACGGACAGTGAACTACTGTCTTATTTTAACCAACTCTTTTAATTAATTGATATTTCTCAGTATACAGTGTTATGTCCCTTCTATTTTTCTAAGCAATGCTTATTAAATGAGTTATTACAGGTTGGCACTGTCCTTCAGTATCAATGATATCCTGCAGCTCTCCTTTGGCAGATACGTTGCCCAGACTTTTAAATAAATTACTATTTATAAATTACTTTTAAATAAATTACTCAAGGCTTTTGTTAGCGTTAGTGAAGCTCTGTACAGATGTAAGAATCAGCTGCGCTGTGCCTTCAGCAAGAATACCAGGAGTATAATAAAAGTGATTAATGAGAGACAGGCACAAATAGTTTAAAAAACAGGGAGGGCAGCCAGCATAGACACCAAGGAACTGTAGTTTCAGATGAAACTTCAGAACCAAGTCCTGTCTGTGTGCTGTGGTTGGGGATTGCCAGTGAAGGATTTTTTGTTCAGGAATGGGGTTTTGTGCCTGCAAGCCTAACAAAACTTGGCTATCAAGTCAGAGCACAGACTGTTCTTTTCTCCATCCTAAGCTGTGCTTTTAGGGGCTAGGAGGATGATGTCTTTCTCTTTATTACCTACACTGAGAATATTACTAGATGACTGGGGGACTTCACTAAGGCTTGTTTTGCTTTCTGATGCTTTACACAGCTCTTCTTGCAGACTGTTTTATCCTAATGATCCGCTGAAGATTGTAAAGGCAAGAGGCCAGTACATGTATGATGAGAACGGAAGACAATACCTTGACTGCATAAACAACGTTGCTCATGGTAAGTTCAAGTTCTATTTGTTCAATACCATGTTTTACTAAGCAGAGCAAGGAACAATCAGTACTCTTTACCACTGTTCCATGGTGTGGGGGGAAGTGGTTGTTTAATTGGAGAAGCTGAAGGAACTTTTACTGAGCCTATAGTTTGAGAAACTTCTGCTCACGTTTGGATTGGTGCATCAACGCGGTGCTTTCCAGACTTGCTTCCTGTTCTACCTTCACAGAAAAGTTCCTATCTAAACTTCACAGAGCTCTGTGCGAGAAAATTCAGGTCAAGGATCTGACTGTAAAACTAACAAAGGACAGTTTGTTGTACTCACAGATGTCACTAAGGGTGCTACTGAAGGACCACAGCCTGGTGTGGTGCAGTATTGGTGTTTTATGAAGTAGCTGTTTCTTACAGTACTTGAAATTGCTGGTCAGGGCTGACAGTCATACCATATATTACTGTCAATATGTAATGATAATATATATTGACAATATATAATTATTTGATGGTAAAACTTATCTGTAAATATAGCTATTCAAATGTCTAAATTCAAAATATAAAATTAGATGCTGTTTGTTTCAGTATATCAACTTGCAGTATTTACCCACCAGCCTTGAAATACAACCAATTTAAACCTTTCTGAACAATGGAAGTTTTCCACGAGAGCTTTCAAAGCATACCAGTGTTGTCCTATGCTGATAACACCATTAATGCCTAACTGATCAAATACAAACAACACTGACAGTAGCTCTGTACTGCTAGGAGAAACATAAGCACAAACGCATTATGTGCCTGCTAAAAGACACTGTGCATAACAGAGAACTCTCAAACCTCTCTCTCCCCTCTCTCTCAGTTGGACACTGTCACCCCGATGTAGTAAAAGCAGCCCACGAGCAAAACCAATTGCTAAATACAAATTCTCGTTATCTTCATGACAACTTGACTGATTATGCAGAGAGACTTTCAGAAAAGCTGCCTGAGAAGTTGTGCACCTTTTATTTCTTGAATTCTGGGTAAGTCAGCTGTATATCAGAATCGCTACTGTTTTTGCCCTGGTTGTGTACAGACAAGTACAGCAGGCAGCTGCATGCTCTGGAGTGATGACTATATTAAAAAAAAAAAAATGAAAGGAATTGAAGATGTTTGATTATGAAGAAACTGTGATCATTTAGAATATCAGCAGATCTCAAGTTTGTACTCACCAAGCTCTCTGTCAGAAAACTGAGCTAGTGCTTTATTTGTACAGCTTTTTATTCTAAGGCCTTGGACTACGTTAACAGAAAGGTTTACTGTATTTGTTTCTGGTCTGACATGTTTTCAAAATTCAGTGTTACAATGCACATTTCTACTTATGGGAGGCTCCTGTATTCCCAAGCAACCTATGCATTAAAATAAAAAGGAAACTGCTTCCAATCTGTCTGCAATCCAGCTTTTTAAGGATGGATTCTAATCTGTTACGCAGTTCTACCTAATGAGTGCAGAGCATTGCTGATTACTCAGGGCTCTGACAGTACCTTGCATCTAGTTCTGTGTTCTCTGCAGGTTTCAAACCTCGGGTATCTGCAATTAAACACCAGTTTTTTCAATTACAGATCTGAGGCTAATGATCTTGCCCTAAGACTGGCACGACAGTTTACAAAGCATGAGGACGTTATAGTTCTAGACCAGTAAGTATGTTGGCAATTTTATCTACTGTAGGTTACAAGGCTCAGTTTATATCTGTGGTCCGAGCACTTGTTACTGCAGGAAGAATGTAGCTAAGAAGTTGAGAGAATTTTCCTCTGCTCAGTATTTGTGATACCACTCCTAAAGTACTGACTGCTGGGGCTCTCCAGCACAAGACAGGCTTTGCCATGCTGAAACAAAGCCAGCACTTTGCTGTCATTTACAGGAGGGGAAACTCTAGATTTGAGATTTCAAAAACTTGAGTTTGTTTATTCTTAGAAGGCACGCACACATACACACACACACACACACACACACACACACAAAAACCCCACAAAGCCAGGTCTGAAGCTGCACAGTGACAGGAAAAAGGGACAGCAGACAGACGGAGAAACCTGAAGAATTCTGATGAGACAGGAAAATCCTCTTCTGCCATAAAGGTGGGCAAATATTAGAGCAGGATGTCCAGAGAAACTGAAAATTCCATTGTTGGAGGATATTCAGAAGCAGGCCAGAAACATCGACTCCTGCAGTCTTTTAATGCTATCTGTGACTTACACTGTTGTAATTGTACTTGCTGGCTCTGGAAAACTAGTGCTAAGGATTGCTGTCTGCCTACATCCCTTAGAAATCCTACAGCTGTTCTCACTAGTAAGTGTATTCCTACCAGGTGATGTAACTCATCTACTCTTTAGATGTCAGTACTGTTAAGCCTAAAGAACTTGTGATAATGAGGAAATTACTATTTAGCTCTGCTGATTGTTTTTTAAGTGCTTACCATGGACATCTGACATCCCTGATTGACATAAGCCCATATAAATTCAGAAATCTAGAAGGACAGAAGGAATGGGTCCACGTGGTATGTACTTCAGCCTGTAACGACTGATTAAATTAAATGAAGACTTATTTATGATTTACCAAACACAGAATGCTGTTCCTTTGCATAGGCTCCTGTTCCAGACACATACAGGGGACTATACAGAGAGGACCATGAAGATCCAGCAACAGCCTATGCTAATGAAGTAGAAAATATTATTAAGCAAGCACATAAGAAAGGCAGAAAGGTAAGAAGTGATTTCTTTGACCTTTTGTCTTGCATAAGAGATCAGTGCAGGTGCTTGTCAACGCTGACTGTACACACAACTTCCACACACGTCTCTGTTGTGTTCAGTCATTACGCAGTCCGTATGTTTCAGATTGCTGCGTTTTTTGCTGAATCTCTGCCAAGCGTCGGTGGTCAAATCATCCCACCAGAAGGCTACTTCCACAAAGTTGCAGAGTAAGTAGTCAGGCATTCATTATCTTCACTTGCAAAACAAAATCTGTCCTACGTACAGATGACAGGAGAATTTCTGTCTCCTGTGGCATGTAGCTTTAGATGCATAGGAAAGATGAATGCTTTTACATTAGATAATCCTAGTGGGGCCATGGCCTCTTTTTAAACATTGGTATAGAAGTTTTCCTTCACAACATTTGTTTTCAACAAGTTTGCAAATTATTCTGTATGTTGCAAAACAGAAAATACGTTTACTCCCTTCCTAACAAATAATCACTGTTATGTTACAGGCACGTGCACAAGGCAGGAGGTGTATTTGTTGCTGATGAAATTCAGGTCGGCTTTGGCAGGGTTGGCAAGCACTTTTGGGCATTCCAACTTCAGGGAGAAGAGTTTATACCTGACATAGTCACTATGGGGAAACCCATAGGTAATGGGCACCCTATTGCCTGCGTAGCAACAACAAAAGAAATCGCAGAAGCATTTGCAGCCACAGGAGTCGAGTATTTCAACACAGTAAGTAAAAACTGACCACAGTTTGTGTTTTGTTTTTTGTTTTGCTTTTTAAAAACAGGAGTCAGTACTAACATGAGAACCATGGCGTTTGTTTTTAATTAATCTTCATCCCCCGCACACTTACTGCTTACATTAATTGCATCTTTCTGGTACCTGACTTTCTAATTGCTGACTATCAGACATAAATCTTAGTGTGCTCATGTTATCACTGAGGCTGTGCTTTCATTGACAAGACTGCACGTTTCTTTCCTGAACTCAGTTTGGAGGAAACCCTGTTTCATGTGCCATTGGATTAGCTGTTCTGGATGTGATAGAGAAGGAACAGCTTCAGGTTCATGCCACAGAAGTTGGCAACTTCTTGATGAAGCTACTCGTGGAGCAAAAAATCAAGCACCCCATCATTGGTGATGTCAGGTATCAATGCCTTATTTACATTTTTAGCTGCTTTTTGTTTGGTTTGTTTAGTTTAACATCACCAAGTTTAAGAAAACTGTATTTCTATGAAACTGTTCAGAGCTGTGGCATTAGCAAAAAGAAAAACAAAAACCAGCAGCTTACTGTCCATTGGATTAAACCATACTTGAGCTAATCAAAAGTCTGATAAACTTTGCCACTCTAGGCTAGTATAACACTTCTGATCTATCAGTTGTCAAGACAAAAGTTTAAACAAAAGTAGTTTAGTGCACAAAGAACACAACACAATTTGTTACAGAATACTCAGAATGACAGCACAGGACAAGCCCATACCATACTACCCTATTTCTGCAAGATTGCTATACTTTTTTTTTTTTTTTTTTTAACAGTAGCCAACAACCATCCCCAATTCTCAGACTTTTTTGAGACCAAACCTTAACTGTATCTCTCACTCCTTTAGTTCACTTGCACTTCCTTCTTGTGACACAGACTGACTATTCACATTTCTTTCCAAGAGGTTCTGGCCTATTCATTGGAGTGGACTTAATTAAAGATCAAGCAAAAAGGACCCCAGCCACAGAAGAAGCAGAGTATTTAATAACAAGGTTTGTGCGACAGTCACGTGGCTTTTCAGTGTGCTAGACAAACATACAGTTTCAAAGCAGCCTGCAGTTCATTAGCTGCTGAAGTACAGCAAATTAGCACCAGTCAGCACTGAAAAGCATTGTCTGGACAGTCACCATTAGGATGTTTTTGAAGTTTTCTGAACTATGTGCAGAAGGTGAAAATAATTCTGTCACCACTCTTCCCAGGCTTAAGGAAGAATATATTCTACTGAGTACAGATGGGCCAGGAAGAAATGTACTTAAATTCAAGCCCCCAATGTGTTTCGCTATGGAGGATGCAAAATTTGTAGTGGACACCATTGACAAGCTTTTAACAGGTAATACAGATGAAAAAAAATGCCTTATAGCAGTCACTGTTGGACTGAGCAGCTGAACCTGCTTAACAAAGCCAAAATGACAGACACTAAACACATAGGAAAGTCAATCACTGAAAGTTTAGCCTTCACTTCTGAACAATCCATGTTCTCTAGCAGAACTTTTTACTCCAAGGATGCACGTACACCTTTTTTTGCTCTGGCAGAGGGTAGTGTTCACTTACAGCAACTGTCAAAGCTAACCAAATTTCATTGGTGAGAGGCATCTTCTAGATGCATTTGATGCTTTTTGTACAACTGGTGCACATTCAGTGTTAAACAGATTAGTCTAAAACTTTGTGTCAACCCCAAGTTTGTTAAATTGTTGCTTGGTGTCCTTCTAGATATGGAAAAAGAACATCTGAACCAGGAGAAAACATCCATTGGCTCAATCTAAGCAGGTATTTATCTATATTCACTCTTTATATTACTGTTTAGAAGTTGATGTTTCTAAACATGCTTCACAGGCTCTGACCCTGGCAGTAGAGCAGGACTAAGTTTTCTCAGTTGCTTTTACTTGAAATTAGTTCAGAGCTCTTTGGCAGTCTCGAAGCACGCACTACGCTTGGCTGCATCTGGAATTCACTGCTATTCCTTCTATTGGTCTGATACTTCTAGTGTAACACTGTTATGAATTCATTTCTTTTCAAGCTAGGTTGAACATATCTCAGAAATGCCTCATGCTGTCACTGCTCTTGTGCCAGCTGCTCTTTAGCCTCCAGGCAGAAGCAGCTGTAGCTTCATACAGTGCCTGGTTACAGTCAGATGGATCAGACCTTTCAGCAAGTCTTTCTCTAACTGCCCCTAAGAACATGCTCCAAAACTATACCTCTTGCATGCCATTATTTGGGAACCTCCATTTAATCTCGTAGGGATAGTACTGTTTATAGCCCTTCATAAAACTACTACAGCCCCTGCTTTATTTGAATAACACAGAATCATTTCAAGCTCGTGGCTGTTGCTTCATGAATTAAGCATCAGCTTACCCCTCTGCCTACCAGGTTTGGGGCACCAGTAAGACAAATACCTGTTAAGTCTTCCTAACTCTAAGATCTGTTGAGGTCCTTCTGTAGCTTGCAGAACACATCAAGCTACTTTAACACCTTGATAACAACACTTTGGGACTCCTGGTACTTGGGACTCCTACCAGAAGACAACTGAATGTGTCTTTAACCAAGTACCAGTAAGGTTTTAGATACAGGGCTATGAATGTAATCACTTGGCCTCAAGCGCCATGCTGGAGTCACAGTGCTGTGGCCCTAAGCTAAGGAAATGCAAGTTTCTGGTTGAGAGCAATAGCAGTATAGCAGGCACAAGAAAAGTGTGTTAATATTTTATTTAGCAAGTTAATAAAAAAAGACATACAACTGTTAGTACTATGGATTCTTGAGAACAGAGGGATGACTCACAGAATCAGTTTAACTCAGACACCTAATAACTTAGTATGCTTATCTGCAAATCTAAAATAAGCAAAAATATGTTCCTCTACAGAAAAGCAAGAATGCAAAAAAGCCTCTCACTAAGTACAGTACAACACTTACATTGCATGTAAGTGAAAACGAGGCCATGAAATAGATTTTGCTTTATGATACTTTGTAAGAAAAACATAACATTATTTTCTTTCCATAGGTTTCAAACATGTTTCAAGACCAACTAAGAAAAATTACTCTACTGTGATAATGTACATTTAATCCTCATGTTAGTATGTCTTAGACCAGATAAGACCTTTGATTTTGTTATTTTCAGTTATCTTATTATTAAGTGAAAGCTTTAGGAGAAATAAATATTCAACTGTGGCAGATGTGGGATTGGCTTTTATTTAACAGAGTATCTAAAACTGGTTTTAAAGCAACATCTTTCTAGTAGCTACTATAGACTATGTTTTCCAAACTCCTGCTCTTTCAGGTCATGCCTGTTTAAAAATTAAGAGGAGCCAACTGGCTTTTTTTTTTTGTTATCTGCTGCTACCAGTGGTAACTCCATTCCTGGAAATGCTTTTCTCAGCCTCCTCTGATCAGTTTCAGGAAGCAGTTTCAAGCTGACGAGTTCCTAGTTAGCACTTTAATCAACAAGCTCCCAATGAGCAGATGAAGTAAAGAGCTTCATCTCATGAGGAACAGACAGCTCAAAGTCACAGCTCCCACAGCTGTTGTTAGGAAACACTGTCCTCAGGAAATATCCGAGTGCAGTTAGTAAATGAACAGTATGTCACAGCCATTTCAGATACAACTCTGTGTACAAGCCCTTGCTTTCACCTGACAGTTTCACCTGACAGTAAGATTTTCTTTGCATCACACACCTTTCATGCAAGAAAGGGAAAGCAAGCTCTTCATGTAAGTGCTAGTAACCCATTTCTGCCTGAGGCCACATCACCTGTAAAGAATCATAGAATCATTAAGGTTGGAAAAGACCTCTAAGATCATCTAGTCCAACCACTGAAATGAAGCATTACTTGAGGATCTACTTCCAAAGGGAACCAGTAACAGGTTGATAACAAACTAGACAGAAATATAGCAGCAGTATGGTTCTGGCATAACACTGTCCAAATCCCCCTTCAGTGGGCAAGCCACCTGCTAGAAAGGTATTCTAACCCTTAATTCAAAAGAAAAACAAGTAAAAAGATGCAACAGAATAGAGCACTTCACTTGCCAATCTTCAAGAGTAATCCTTCCAAATATTACTTGTTTCAACTGTTTATAGTTTTATATTTTTCAAGTTGGGCACTTTGTTACACACATCAACTATAAAGCTCACGTGCCCACTACCCAACTAAAAGATCTGCTTCACTCTTTCTTACATTCAAGAGTGCAGCTTAAAAGTCTGTAAGACTTGTCTGAGGTTAACTTTATGGTTTTTAATTTCAAGGACAGCCAGCAGGGAGCAGCACGTTGTCATTCCTGTAGGAACTGCTGCTTCCCTCATGGAAAAAAAGAAGTAAAAATCACTATTAACATGGTTTTCTCCTTTCATAGTTACTTGATTTGGTTCCACTGCTGGTTTGTTGGATCAAATTGTGCGTTAAAAGAAAAATATCAACTTTTGAAGTAAAAAAACAAACAAAAAAACAAAAAAAAAAACACAGATTAACAAAGATTAGAAATTTCCTTTGTGCAGCAGTACTTGCTACTTGGAATATTTAAGTTCAAGACAGGGACTACTCTGCAACCAGACAAGCAAATCATAGTAGTTATTTCTTAAAAACTGTGGTAAGCTAATAGAAAGGAAAGAGTATCTCTAGAAAAATAGTTGTATTATTAGATGCACCTTCCTTGTTTTTCCTCCCACTGTTTCAGGTGGAAGTTCTTTACTATGTTTTTGATACACAGTAAGACTGCAAAAAGTGAAGCTTTGCATTCCTAATTTGATGTCTGCCTAACCTGTCTTTCAAGACATATGTACATACTGTTAAGAACTTTAGAAACCTCTGACTCAAGAGGCTGGAACATGAAGGAAGAGCAGCTAGCTTCTTGCATACCTCTTAAGCCTCCTCCTGCAAGGCTGTCTTGCCTGCCAAACCCTACCTGAAACCTAAGCCTTTGGCTCCACCCACAAGAGCCATTACTGCACTCAGTACAACTACCTCTGTACCTGTCTAGAACTTGAGCCACCAGCGCAGCCCCAAAAGCTGGGATCTCCGCCCAGGCTCTCTTCCATAGCCTCTAGGCACAAGTGACTGCAGTTTTCAGCTCTCACTTAACTGCTGAAGTCAACACAACGACCTACCAACACAGCCCTCTAGTTTCCAGATTAAAAGCAGCAAGCCCAACTCTTCATCTAGCAAGGTACTGCCATGAGCTAAGTTCTGGGAAAAACATACTGCCGTTTTACTAAGATAGAGCTGAAGAATGGCACGAGACACTAGATTACGCCTTTTTTATTTCAAAAGCTAGGATAGCTTCAATATCCATGTCATGGTGAATCAGAACACATGTAAAATACCTTACAATACATTAGATTCCAAAAAGGTACCAAAAAGTACAGTAAAATTAACACTTCCATTACAGGAAATGTATGACACAAAAACAATACAAAATAAAAAGGTGGAAAGTGACACTGGTTCCCTAAAGATGCATCTCTTTCTGTACAACTGGAGTAATGCAGAGTCCATAGTTAACTCCAAGAGGCAGTCCCTAGATGCAGAGCTGCAGCTTTAAGCAGACCCTCAAAATCAGTTTCAGTTTAACCTATTAATAAAATCATTAATTAATATCTTCAGCAAGGCTGAAATTTACACACCACACTGTCTAAACAACTAGTTATCTGTAAGTATTAAACATGTAAAACATTTCCAAGGAGCTCTTCCAAGTAAGATGCACATTTAACAGGCCATAGAAATTTATTGTAAAGTTAAATTTGGTACAGAACTGAAATACCATCTACAGCATTGTATACAAAACCTATGCAGTCATTTTCCAAAAGAGACCATGCCACTGCATACCTGAATAAGTTTGATCAATATGGCTTGTAGTTATTCTGATGGCCACCACGCCTTGGTGTCTTCCCGTAATTTGCACTGCCTTGACCTATGAACAAGAGAACAAATGCATTAAACTGCTAATTAGTTACGCTTGCTTATACCCAATACAGTTCTTTACTTACTGTAATCATAGCCTGGTCCATATCCATAATACCCATATCCTGAATAATCATAGCCTCCATAGCCACCATAACCTTGCTGATAGCCGTATCCTTGATTCCCATAACCCTGGTTCCAGTAATTGCCATAACCTTGATTCCAATTTTGACTTTGAGCTATAGAAGGGAAAACCATCCACAAAATCCCATTTTAGTACACACAGCTTAGTTTGAATGTGTCCATACTAAAGTAGTGTGTGCAATACTTACCACCACCTCTTCCACCTCTGCCTCTTCCTCCATAGCTACCTCTTCCTCCACCACTACTGAACTGTTGCTGCTGGTATACTTCTTTTGGCTGTGCTACCTTTATCTCGCACTGAAACGAAAGAATAAAGAGGAATGTGCTTACTTGTCTTAAAACAGCACTGCTCAAACCTAGCCACCTAGGAAAGCCAGAGGTTATTCTAGAGGCAAAGGTGTTCATGCTGTGCTCCCTGTCACGCAGCCAGTATTACTGCACATCCAGAAGCATCTGATTTATCATGCTGCTCAGGCCAAGGTAAGTCAGTCACTACCTGCCACTCAAGCCAGCTACTGCTATCAGAGTACTTTATGCCACCCCTTCCCCACCATCAGTTTCCTCACAGGAAAGTGGGGAGGTCACCTCAGCATAGCCACTACTGCCTGTAGAGTGGCTACAAGGCTGTCCCCCAATCTGCACAAACTCTAGGACTAAGCTGCTGAACTGCTTCACCTGAGCTGCACTGACTGAAGAGCTACCAACAAGGCTGAAAAATAAGCCAAATGAGTTTTCCTGGCAGCCTTCATGCAGCCTGTACTATGAGTATGTTGGACTGTGAAGTACATTTAACCAACAGTTGAAAACATAACTTCTCCAATACTACAAATAGTTAAAAATAACTGGAATTAGAAGTTCCAGGACTGGCCCCCAAGCTCTATTTCAAGTTATCAGCCAGCTTCTACTTCCTAGATCTGTGTATGGTTGGAGATGAAGCAGTGAGAGGAACACCACCCTGCGATGGTACCTCAGGAAACTTTGCTTAGAATTCTTCACACTGGATCCTGCTTTAAGGTAAGGTGCTGGTTTTATTATCTTATGATAAAAACAAGCCACAGATGCAAGACTTAATGATATGATTTCTCAGTTCTTCTCACACCCAATCCTTTGCCTCTTTATGAACTTTATGGCTAACTACAGAGTCTGGCAAACCATATGTACAGGTAATAGCCAAAGCTTTACTCTGTGTTGCATCCAGTAATCTTGTCTTAATCTACATGCAACGCAAGTTACTACGTGGGGCTGTATGAAAAGTTCTGATAGGACTCTGAAGTTAGTGTATGGATGGTTAGCACAGAGCACAAAGCAAAAGAGGAACACCTTCCAGACATCATCTGCCTCCAGTCCTCATATGCTTGACACCTTAACCTGTATTAGCTACTCCCACAGATAAGCAGCATCAGACAACCAGAGCATCTCACACCACTGTTACAGTGGTTCTCACAGACAGCTGATGAGGTTCAAGGGGCCCTTCAGCATAAGGCACCAATAAGCCTTGAATTTATGCAATTACTCTATGATGAAAAATAGAACATGAATCTATTCAGATGGCTTATATCACCACACTGATATATAAACAAGCCAGTTTTTCCATACATATGTAATTATATTAATTAAATCCTTTACTTATAAAAGCCCCGAGCACTTAATAAATATTAAAGCTGCAAATACTGGCAAAGAACCTTAGCAGCTTCTGTGGCTGAACACAGAGCAGAAAATAATACAGCAAACTGCACGCTATCCTTATTGAATTTTGAGTACTCTGGAATCATAGCTTTACAAAATCTTTTTCAGAGTAAAGACAGTGTTATTCTGCTTAACAGCCTGGTCAAAGATTCACAAATAAGTTTCTACCTTGCTTCCACTGACGTTATGGAATTTCTTCTCCAAAACTTTCTTCACTGGATCTTCTTCCTTGAAAGTGATGAACACAAACCCCCTCCTTTTGTTGGTCTTTGGATCCATTGGAAGTTCAATTGCTTCAATCTAAAGACATGAAATACTGTCTTAGGCTCAAATTTTAGCAGAACAATAAAGTGCATAGCATTTGGTACAGTAAAACTCTAAGTTTATCAATACATATTAAGCAACACTAAAGTTGCAGTGTTCTCCCCATAGGAAGCTTAGCTTTCAAACCAGACGTTTCAACTAACTTTACAAGTCTTAAAAAGAATTTTAACATGAAATAGAATGATTTGAGTTCAAATGAGCTATCTAACTAGCAACATAAGCATTTAGTGCAATGCCTGCCTTGCTTCAAGATAAGAAGCCTCTGGATCAGTTACAAAAGGCTTGACACATCTGAAATTACTAATAATTGCAAGCTATAGTAATCTAAACAGCAACTGTTAACTATACTGCATTTCAGTGTTCCGTTAGATAGCATTACACACCTCTCCAAACTCGCCAAAGTATTCCCTGATTTTCTCTTCTGTGGCTTCGGGGTTAAGTCCACCAACAAATATTTTCTTCACTGGATCCTTTTTCATTGCCATGGCCTTCTTGGGGTCAATTAGTCGTCCATCTAGCCTGTGTTCTTTCTGTTCCAGAACCTAAAAGGCAATTTAATTAGATTAACTTAAGCTAGAAAATTTCCCTCTAATTTAAGAATCTGAGAAATTGAGGACAAAGCTTAAACTCACCTTTTCAACACTCCCAGGTTCTTTGAAGAGTATAAATCCAAAGCCTCTGGATCTCCCTGTGTTGGGGTCCATCTTTATCGTACAGTCAGTTACCTCACCGAACTTGGTGAAGTAGTCTTTCAAGTCTTTTTTGCTTGTATCCCAACTGAGGCCACCAACAAACATTTTCCTGAAATTCCAAAGAGAACAGCTGTTTAGATTCAGGAAGTACTACCAAAAAGCACATGCAGGAAGATGTTCACAGCAGCACAAGCCTCAGCAGCATTGTCAGAACAGGTCCAACTGTTGAAGGTTAAACACTTTTGCATCTTGTCAAAAACTAACGCTACAGGGGCACACGAGGGTTTGTTTGATTTTTCTTTTTCCCCTCCCTCTTCTTCGAGGGAATTACAGTACACTGAAATTTATGAGGTCCTGTGAAAAAAGCAGGAAAAATTGCTTCAAATGCTTCTCACCAGTAACTTCTGTTCTTCCACTGTCATTTTGTTACTTACAATGAAGCAGTATTGATTATCAATTACTGCCTTTTCCTTTTTGAAAGGAACTGAGGTCACACATACTGCTGTGAAAGCGCTCGGGCTAGAAAAGGGCACCAAAATCAAAACACTTCAGATCTGTCTTAATTTGGAGAAATGAATGTAAAAATATTAGCCTTACCACTTAAGAGATATTTAAGAGACATCTGTGACAGCTAAGAACAGTCTCCTACAGACGGGACTTTGGACCTGCCTTAACAAATACACTGTGCACTTCTTCCTGCTCGCTTCCTGAACCTAGTTCCATCTTCATCAGTGTGACAATATTAAGCCAGTCTTTGCTTTCATGGGAGGCCACGATACAGTTCTTCCCTACCCACACTCCCACACAGATTACCTCTAAAGTATCACAAAGAACTATAAACTACTCAAGTGCAATACAGAATTGAAACTAAACAAAACTAAGATCAGTCAACAAGGCACTTTTCAAATGCCTCACTTAAATAATACCATTAATAGCACAACTGTTTTCTATTTTCAGAGTTTCCAAGGTAACAAACCGAGCTTTTAAAAGCATGTGAGCCTTTTTACCTAACTGCAGACTAAAGCAGTTTAAGTTGTCACTACTCTGTTCTGAAGTAACCATGATCTGGCAATAGAAGCTAGCAGCAATTTATAAACTAGCCTACATCTAAGTAAAATTGGCTGTTGGTGTTAATGTATAACTTTAACCTGCCAAAACCAGCAACCATTTAGGATCAAATAGCAACTTGAGAAAAAGATCTGTAAAAGTGATTGATCTGTTTGCTTGACTTTTTTCATTTTACTGGAGAAAACCATATCCTTCACAGGCTAAATCAGTAATTTTTCAGATCCAGCTGCACTCCCAACTAAGTAGTGCAGTTTAGTTTTTAAGGCCTAAGTCACATCCGTACAGCCCTTAAAATAGAGGCCTTAAAGAGAAGGCCTTCCAGAGTTTAATAAACGTTTCAATAAAGATAAAAGGTAACTTGATGGCTCCATTCTCATTGAAATCGCTTACTGATCAAGCAACCATGCCAAACCTAAACAGACTGACAGTTGTTTTCAGTAGCATGCCCTGGTTTTACCAGATGTTCCTACAGAACAGATCCAAGAGAAATTCAAAGGGGGGATGACAGGAATTCACCTGCAGGCAGCTCAGGCATGCCCTAAGGACGGGACTGCACACAGGTATTGCCAGTGCTAAAATAATCGCTTACCACGGGAGCAGATATTACACTGATTTACAGCCTTCTGGTTTTTAAAGTGGTATGCTCAACATCTACATAATATTTCTACACCACAGCACAGAGCTTCTGAAATTAAGATCAATTCTTAGTATTTCACTTCCCCTTCAGCAGCCACAAACTGGACATTGCACTGCTAATGCAATCTCTTTTTTCCCCCTCCCCAGAATACCAACACAAATCAAAGCAATTTTCAGCTACTAACTGTATTTACTGCCTATGTCCTGAACTCTAGCTTGGGCAAGTCTTGTGTACAGGCTGAAAATTTTCACTCAATACAATCCCTATGAATAATTATGCTTTTTTTTTTAATTATTATTCTTGGTTTCTTTCTCTTTAGAGACTTCAGTTTACAGGTTTGGGTTTGAAATCTGTCATATCCTGTGTGACAAACGGGACAACATCATCCACTTTTCAGGGAATGCTGCACACTAAGGATGTGAAAAGAAAATTCACACAGCTTACACAGGTGTAGGCCTCAATCCTTTAATGCTGTGAAAAAAGGCACATCCGGCCCTAGGCTACAGGAAGCTCGTATAACTCTTACTCCTTCCCTTATAAACAGAAATCTATGGCACTGCTGCAGCTTCAGTTCTGTTCAGCCTCAGGCAAACGACCCTCCGACTCGGGGCCCAGTGACAACAAAGGAAGTTCCAATTAAATATGTGAGCAGCCAGGCTCACAAAGAGTCTGCAGAAACAGGCAGGTAGTTCTCATGCCAAGTGTGCATATTCAAAAAGTAAGAAAAGAATCGACTGCGATCGTAAATAAATCAGTCTCTTCGTATATGAATGTTCCTAGTAAAACACAGCAGAACTCCCGAGTCCTCCAGAAAACACTCTTAATAACCACTTCACTCTTAATAACCAGTTTTCTGACAATGCTGCGAAGACGTAAACCGAAATCACTCTTACTTTTTCATCACACCGCACATCACTTTGCTCGTGCTGCATTTCCCTTCCTTCCTCCCAAAATACTTAAGACTGCCACCGTCAGGTTCCAACCCCCGATATGTCGCACGCCCTACACAAAGCACGCTCGCGTTCTGCCGACGGGCGGGATTTCTCCGCGAAGCCCCTTAAGTTCGCAACCAGCACCGCGGGCAGCGAGCTGCTCCTTCCCTCCTCCCCTCTGCTTTAAAGCGGCCGAGGCGGGAGGCGCGCCGAGGGAAATCCCTACCATTTTACAGCGCGAGCCGGCGAGGGCCCGCGGCCGCCCCTCCCCCAGCCACCACATGGCGCCAACAAAAGGCAGCTCCAGAACAAAGGGAGCGCTGCCGCTGCGGGCCGCCTTCCGCCGCCCGCCCGAGCGCCGCGCCGCGGGGCCGCCCGCCGTCCACCCCCGCGGGGCCCGGGCCCGACGGGACGCTCCGCCCGCCCGAAGGCCGCACCGGGCCCAAGGCCGCGCTCTGCCGCCGCACATGGCGCCCGAGGCGGGGATGGGGGGGCGCGGCCCGCTCCCGCCTTCCGCCCGCCGCTTACCCCGCGTCCTCCTCGTTCTTGCTGGCGTTGATCTGGTCGCCTTCGGCCCCGTTCTGGCTGGCGGCCACCCCCGCCGTCCCCGCCGCAGGACCGGCTCCCGCCGCCGCCGTTCCCGCCGTTCCCGCCGCCGCCGCCGTCGCCGCGCCCGCCGAAGCCGCCGAGGCCCCGCCGGTGTCGGCCTGCTGCTGCTCCCCGGAGCTCTCAGCCGCTTCGTGTCCGTTCTGGGTGGCGCCGGCGGCGGCCGCCAACTGCTGCTCCACTTCGGACATGCTGCCCCGTCCGCAGAGGCGAGAGGGACGTGAGGCGCCTACAAGAGACCAACGGGGCCGGCGGTCAGCGAGGCCGCTCCCCCCGCAGGGCTGGGCCGGTCTGATCCGGTCCGCTGCCGCCCCTCCCCCCGCGTGCCGCCGCCCGCCCCTACTCACTTTAAAAGCCGCTCGCGATAAAATCCGGGCCGGCCGGAATAGGATTAAAATCCCCCACGGTGCTCGGCTGCTCCGCACCGGCCCCGCCGCCACCTCCTCCTCCCCCCGAGACACGTACTCTCCGGCCCGAAGCTTTAACGCGTGGCCGCCTTTATACCGCCGGAGCCTGGGCCACACAGCAACAAGACGTCTCCTGGCTGGCCGTCGCTCTTTGTCACTCGTAAGATTCGGGAGCTCCTATTGGTTCCGCGGCGCTGGGCGGGCGGGGCGCGCGGGGTGAGGCGAATGGCGGCCCGCGGGACCGGGTTGTGGGGGAAAGCGCGTGCGGGGGCTTCGCGCCTCTCACCTCAGCGTCCACGGCTCCGTGCGCCCGTGGAGAAGTGGGCGTGCGGGTGGCTGCCGCGCTCACTTACAACTGCGTTATTCTCTCCAGGCGCTTCCCGATAACAGACCGGGAAGCCCAGCCCCAGAGGCGCAACGCCCGCGTGAGGCGATGGCTGTTGCCCGCAGCAGCCTCCTAACGGTCCGCCGCAAAGCGCTCCCGTCCCGGTGAGTCGCGGTTATGGCAGCGCTGCTGCGTTTCCTGGCGCCGCTCCGTGAAGGTGCGGTGCGCGCTGACTCAGTCACTCCAGGGAGAGAGGTTTACTACATGTTTCCAGCTCTGCTGGTTTTGCAACAGAGAAGGCCGGAGTTTGTTTTCTTGGTGGAAATCTGGAGTCGGTATTACATAACCCGGAGCTGGAGCCCTGAGCGGGCCCGGGCCGGCGCTCTTTTTGCCCAAGGATGTACCGGCTTTGCTGGCAATGCCCGCGTGAGGAGGGCAGGAGACAACGCTCCTTGTGTTTGTGCTTTAAATTCTTGTGCAATGTACCATCCCTAATATCTCATTTGTCTGCAGCAAAGGCAAGGAGCTCAGCTTTCAGATGGAGAGCCAAAGATTGCTACCGCCTCTTTAAAACAATTCAGACGCATGAAACCCTTTGCTGGTGGTGCTAAAAGTAACAGTTTAACTTTTTGCAGTGATAAATGTAAATGTAATGGAGCGTCCCACCCTCTGTCAAATATATCCTCTGGCCCAGCTTACCTGCACCACTGCTACAATTCAGGAAGTGCGCATGGTGTAATGAAGACAAGCAGCACTATTTACCTTTATTCTGCGAGCTATGAAGTCCAGGATCCAGGCTGTTCTTCAGCAAACCACTTTTAGGCCAACTTCTATCCTGTGTGAGATCGAAGTAGCACCTTGCTAAAATCACAACACACTGTGGGATATTTGGTTTTATATGCAGCACAATGTGGGTAGAGCATTAAAGATGTTTACTAAAGTCAATGCAGCACATTCAGATTAAGAAGCTATTTTTTTTTTTTTTTTCAGCTTAAAAACAGTTTTAATCTGTAAGTCAGACATCTTAAGAGGAACAAAAAGTATGTATATCATACTTAGTATTGTAAAGATCATAACATATAAAGATCCACAAGCAGGAATTTGAAGCCACTGTGTTGCTTTGCTGTTTGTGGTACTTGACACGAGAGCCATGTTAACTGGTTCAGGCTGAGCATTCTGCTTTGATTCCCATGCAAGCAAAACTGCTTCCTGTTTCTTACTGGAATTGTAACAGGTTTTCTTACAAATTCTCAAGTTTAAATCCTTGGACATAACTATTTGATTCCATCTTTTTTTTTTTTTCCTTATGTTTTGCTGCTCACAATTTGAAAAGTATTAAGACAATCTGAAAATAGGTGATCTAAATGAGCAACTGTGGACAAGCTCCACAACCATCTCTTCATTGTAAAGTTTATGAAACTGTTATATGAGGTCACATCCAGTAAGAATGATAGAAAGAGCATCTAACTAGCAGGCTTGAAAATTGTGATTCTGTAGAACAGGTTGTGTACCTCTTTTCTGGTAAAGATACTTATCTTTACAAGACTGTGCCTTTAAAGTTTTTTTTCTAATACTAAATTTTAAGTATAATTAGAAACAAAGATTGTTGTTGTTGTTGTAAGGTGTTCCTTTCCCTAATTTGTATCATCTTGAAGAAACTTACCCCACATCCAGCAAGAGATCTTCTGTTGGCTTCTTTCAGGCTTCCTTGGCTTAGATTGTAATCAGATCTGTACCTAAAGCTGCTATCACCTGTATGTGTTAATTTATACAGAACCATCAGCTTGCTTCAATTGGAAATTATCCTGCATTTGCTTAAGTCACAGAGGGGGAAGCTAAGACTGAACTGATGTCTGCAGCTGGACTTAAATGGGGTGGATGAAAAGATAAGAACTGCTAAGCTTCACTAACTACTTTCTTTCTTGTAGGTTTTTATATTTGTGGCAGCTGAATGCAGCAGTGTGCTCTGAAGTTAAAAGTGTATAGACCAGCAGCAAGAGTAGACCAAAATGGGTGGCAGTTTATGAAAGTCTGTTGTCTAAGCTTAGGTTCAGATGATGGATGTAATCTGGGTGTTTTAATGATATAGTGTATTAATTTCTCTGCAAAAGTCATTACTCTGAATATCTCTTTTGTATTTTATCAAGCCTTGCTAAGGACTTGCATGATTTATTGTTTGATTTGCAGTTCTCCATAGGTTTCCATTTCCTTTCTTTCTCTCTTTTTTTTTTGCTTTGCTTTGCTGAACTATCTGCTTTCCTTTTGTAGCTCTTGCATGGATGTGCTTAACAATGCTTTCTTCAGATCTGTAATCTCTTCCAACTGTTGATTTCTTCTGGTCAATCCCATTTCAGTCTCTCAGCTTGGCAATTCCGAAAAGCAATTTCCACTACTATCTCTATTTTATGCTAGAAATAAGGTAGAGATATATATTTAAGAAGTAAAGGGTAAGTGTCTAGTATCTATATACAGTATCCACATGCTATGCCCATGTACAGATGAGTAGGAGCTTTATAGAGAACAGGAAGCCTATGCTAGCCTCGACAGGTATTCAACATGAATGCATCCTAAGCAAAATCATGGAATTGAGCAGGAGAGTCTTTACTTTAAAATGGCTTAGTAGAAATCAATTGCTTTAGATGACTTACATTGTAGGAGCTATTGTTTGTGGAACAAAAGGTAAATAGAACTTGATCAATATGTGTATGGGCTTACAGCTGAAAACCAAATGTTTTGTGTGGAGCAGAAAATACTTGATGTGGAAAGACATAGAGAATTGACATAAAAAGATGGTCTACAAAATAAAATATACTCGCAAAAAAAAAAAAATCTGAGTGGAAGAGAATGATTTATATGTTGTGATCAGAGAAAAAGATATCAGCAGTAACTGAGATGAGGAGGGCTTGTGCAAGATACCCAGCCACATCAGTGACTCACAGAAGTCACAGCAGTTTGGACTAATCTGAATCTAAAACTCACATTCCTGGCTGTGAAGTTCCACCTACTCCTTTGCACAGTTAGTTGTAAAATAACTCAGCTGAAAAGTGGTTGGTTTTCAGCCAGATCATTTATCTAGCACACGCTCATTACACGACAGTAAATTGCAATGGGAACACCTTAAGTTTGAAAGGAGACAGTAATATGAGGCAATCATATCTGTATTTGTCAATTAGCACAATGAGCTATGAGCTAGAAGGGAAGGGAGGAGAGAAATTATAGCAGAGTTCACTGGTGTTCTTGCAGACACGGGAAAGAAACACAAGGGAAGCTATTGCTGTGCCAGGCTGGGGAAAAAGCAATATGTGAGAATAATTGCAAAAGCTAAGGTAAGAGGGAAGCTAGCTATGCTAAAAGTGACTGGAGACAAAAGAGCTTGGTTTAAGATGTGTTGAGAAGCTTTTAGATGAGTAGAGGAAGCAAAACTGTGTTTGAAGTGAATTCCAACCACATCTCCTGTCTGCAAGCAGATAGGAGGTGTGGTTGGAAGACAAAAACATGAGATGAGAAGAGGTGCTTCTACGGAAGGATTATATTGAATTAATTGATTGATGTACAAGAGGTTGAAGTGCATCTGTGTGGATGCTGGGGGTCAGAGCAGAGTGTATGATAAAAGCTGTGAACGTATGAAAGAGGGAGCATGAGGGTGATCAGGAAATAAAATGGAAGAGGGACAGTAGAGCAATTGATGGAGTTACAGAGGATGTGTACATGAGAAGTTTGTTATTACTTAGAGTCTTGTAGAAATAATAGCATATGTAAAGAAAATTGTGACATAGCAAATACATGACAGCAGAAATGAAGGCTTGAATTGGGTTAGTCAAAAGCAATAAAAAGTTAGCTAGGATTACAGGCATGTAGGCAAGCTGCAGCAGAATTGTTTAGCTGTAAGAAATGGAGGAGGGAGCGGGCTTGCAGGAGCGGAAGTCAGCTTGGTCACAGGATTTCTGTCAAAGACTCTTTGCACTGCAAGAGCAAGCACAGATGAAGCAGGTTATGGAGGTAAGCTGGTACTGCATGTAGGTATCCCAGCCTTTATCGTGGGAGACAGAAACGAAAAAAATGGTGTCAGTGGTGGACAGAAGTTGTTTGTGTGGCAAATGAATAACCAGGAAATTATTACTACTTTTTTTTTCATGCTTGACATTAAAATGCATGTAAAGCTAAAATGTGTAAGTTTCATTTTTAATCAGTGAAACTAGCCAGTATTATTCTTTAACTTTTCTTTATTATTTTGCATTATCCCGTGCAATTTTACATCATTCTGTTTTTCCTCCTCCTTTCTTTTTTTAATGAACAATCCCCCAGTAAATATTTTGTCCATCTTCTTGCAATATTGGAGTTCAAAGTTCTAAAACAGTATTTTTTCTTTAAGAAGTTATTTGTTACTAGAATGCAAATGCATCTGCAACCATCATCTTAATGTTATTATATTCCATGCCAGCTAAAAATAAGACAAGCAAGGCTTGTTAAACCGCTTAACAGATCAGATACAGCAGCCAAGCTATGCCCAGAGAAGTATTCAGAACTGTAATGGTTTGTTGCATTGTAATTAAAATTTCAGGTTTTGTTTGTTTGTTTTCTTAGCCCATAGTAACATCCCTGGGCTACAGAAGTTAGAGACAATGCTTCAAACCAGCCTTTTAGTTATTAGAAATAGCTTCTCAAGCACTACAAAGATAAGGTGCATACAATAACAATATCAACACAGTATTAAAAGGTCGGGTTTATGGAATCCAAGGATTTAGAAGAAGAAACCTCTGAGATGGTCTTACTGTATAAAGCTACTTCTTTGTTAGGGGACACACTGTTATTTTCTCTTAGTGTGGGGGGGCCCCTTTAAATGTGTAACTCTGCATTATTAAACGGTCGTGGGAAGTGCAGCAGGAGGAAACCCCGGGTAATTGGCTGCAGCTTCAGATGCAGCAGCTCGCTCATTGGAGAGCAGAGGATTCTCCGAGCTGCTAAAATTAGATGATCTCCGCCCTCCAGAAATGCTTCTGGAAACAGCAAGGAGGAGAAATTCTGACACAGAAGGATGGGGGAAGGAGCGAAGTGCACAGGATGCTGCTCGTGGGGAAGCTTCAGCAGATAAGGATGCACAGACGGATATTGAGATACTTTTTTCCTATCTTGGTTAACTGGGAGCAAAATGCACACACTGAAGAAATTGCAAGTGATCAAAGTCAGCAGTACTTTGTGAGGATATTAAATTCAATATTTCTTAAGTAATAATCTGAAATATTCACTGGTGCTGAGGAGGTTTTTGAGCTGCTAAACCCAGGGTCAGCCTGTCAGCCTTGTAAGCATTTACTTTGCCAAGGAGCAGCTCTTGCCAAATTAATCCTGAACTAAAAGAAAAAGTAGATGAACTCGCAAATCTTTCTAGGAATTTATTTCTCATAAAACACTTATTTTCCTTATCTGTGAGTAGTTGCTGCATTTACAATATCTTCAACTCAACTGTTGTTAACTGTTGTTAAAGAAGCCAACATCGTATGCCTGTATTAGCAAAATCAGTCTATATCTGAATTGTTCAAGCCTTAACTTTCATTTCTTCTGCTGACCATTACTACGCAATGTTGCACCTATGGCTCTCTAAGTGTTTTGCCTTCTGCCCTTTCACCTTTGTATCAACTTTCAACCTGTTTTCAATAAAAAGAAATGAAGCCCATATACATGAGCACTTGTCTCTTTGTCCATCTCACCCCAAGGGCTCGAATGTGCAGGCCATTCCAGCTGGATGTGACAAACAGACTGCCTGGGATCACATCGTTTTTGGTAAACGTCACAGGGCAGCAGGCGAGGCCCAAATGTGAGCAGTCCATGGGCTGGTGCGGGCGTTATCGCAGCTGCCGGGCTGTGCCTCCCTGATAGCTGCCGGCAGGCCTCAGCAGGGAGGCAGGCTGCTTGTTTCTGTGTCGCAACCGAGTCACACCGGGGAGAAAATGCCTTTCAATCCAAAGTGCTGAGAAACTGTATTCTAGAGCTGGGAATTCAGGTCAGCGCCTGCTCGGCTGTGAGCTGCGTCCCAGGGCAGATCGGACGGGAAATAAACAGGAAGTGCTGTGCGTGCTGCCACCGCACAGCGACCTGTAAACAACCTGCTTCTGCACTCAGACGTTTATTTCTGTTCCAAAATACCCGTCCAACGGTGTGACCTCTGCTTATGAGGGTCTGCCGTGAGACTGTGCTTCCAGCGTGGAGTAAAATCAACAGAAAGCTGCGTCACAGAATTAACAACACAACAGACCCCCCAAAACCTTCTGCCCAAACCGATTTACTCCCTTTGTTATTTTCTTATCACACCAGACGCTCAGAAAGGGGCAAACGAGGTCCGGAAAGCGCGGTTGCAGCGGGCTGTGAGGCGAGCCGAGGGCGCGCCGCACCCGGGCCGCCATTTCTCTTCCCCCCCCACACACGCACGCAGCAGCCCGCCGCGAGGGCCGCGGAGGCCATCTTGTGGCCGCTGAGCCCGCTGCCCGCCCGGCCCCGCCGTCGCTTAGCAACGGGGAGCTGCGCGGCATGGCGGCTTGGCGCGCGCGGCGGGACCTCTGGAGGCCGTGACTGGGAGCTGTGGTTCCAGGTCGGTAGCTGCAGGCTTTCCGCGTGGGTTCGTGTGTTTTCAGCCTTGTCTCCTCGGAGACCCACGGGCACGGGGGAGAAGGGCACAGTTCTGCAAGAAACCACACTGCTTCCACTGCTCGGGGAGAAATGTTGGAGCTCATATCTCGCTGATCCCTGTGCATAGTCGTGCTTCTGCTCGTGCATGGTCTGAGTTAGAGATGTTTAAGAAGAGCTTATAATTCACGATTGGCTAACAATGCTTAATTTTGGCTTGTTTTCTACAAAACATTCCTTTACTGAAGATGGGAGCGTGAATTACGGGATGCTAACTAGTCCAGGTCTGAAATGAGGACGTCCTGCTTCCTTCCTGGGTGTGCACTGAGTGTGGCTGCAGGTGACTGCGTGGTAGGCAAACCCCAAATGTCATTAACTGATGTCATTGCAGGACAAAGAAGCACCCGGCTTCTAATCTAGAAGCAAAGATGCAGATGCTAATGCCCGAACCTCAGATTTTTGTGGAAAAAACACTGGCTCTCATCAAACCTGATGTTGTAGCTAAGGAGGAAGAGATAGAGGATCTCATCCTCAGATCTGGATTCATGATTATCCAGGTAAAAGGCTGTGTTCCTGAGATAACAGCTGCAGTTTATGAGTCACATCAATAGTCTTAACTGTCACCAGTCAGTTCAATAATTAAAAGCTTTTGTTGTAAAAAAAAATCCGTTTATATTTTTCATGTCATCGGACACAACTCCCAGATTCTTTGAGGATACATTTTGTTGGTGCGTGACATGGAAGAGAGCACACAAATGATTTTGCTGGCCAGAAGAGATCCCGTACTTCCTTAATAAACCGAGTTTAGTAGTTCGTCTATGTAACATATGCAGCAGATGGGTGGGTGCTCCAAAGTAACTCTTTAGAGAGATCTCCTTCTAATATCAATGTGTCATATACCCATTTGCCAAGTAGATGCTTCCAGATTTAAATGGCAGGTTGTGGACTGAAGTGCTTTTTCTTGTTCCCAGTGTTTTTATCCTAAAAGGGCTTTAAAAGCATTACAAATGTTCTACTTAAATAGGTCTGAGTTTGTCCTTTATGGTTTCGGACCTAACAACGTGACTGTGGGGATGCTGCGCAGAGCACTGGTGCAACCCCCTCTGTCACTTGGAAAGCTTCCAGGCCGTGATTCTTGGTGGAGACTGGGTTAAGATAAAGATTTGCCTTTAGCTAGCAAGGACATGCGTACTCTAGGCCCTCATTCAGGGAGCTCTTTGTACATTCTCTAAGAACAGATGGAAAAAAAAAATAATCTGTTAAAATAATTCAGAATCCCCAGATTATTTTGAGGTAAGAGATATGAAGTAAAGGCTATCTTCAGCAGGAGCCAGTAATACTACCTTGGCAGGAAGTCTTTGCTCTTTTTAACTTCCTTTAGAAACGATCACAAGCGGGGGGGAAAAAATAAAAAAATTAAAAAAAAAAAAAAAACGAAAAAAAAAACGAAAAAACCCAACCCTCTTCCATGTTACCCAGCGGGGCTGGGGCGGTCGCTGGGTGCCGCTGTCGTCCTCGTCGTGTTCTGCCTTCTCTTCCTCCTGCTCCCCCTCCTCCTCCGCCGACAGCGCCTTGGCCACGGCACTGGACTTTGAGGGCACTGGGTGAGCAGCAGTCAGGCTTCTAGATACAAGTATTATATGTATATATTTTCCCCAAACGGTAATCTTTTACTTTTGTAAATGCCTCTTTTCAAACTTGTTCTTTTTTAATTTCTTCCCCTTCATTTCTGGTTGTTTTATTTACAGGCAATTCATCAGAAGATTAGAGGGTTGTTTTGTTTTGTTTTAATGAGAAGAACTTTACAGTCATTAACTTTTGACATTGAGGTTGATAGGAATCTGAACGTTTAGTACTTTGTATCACATTAGAGCAGGCTCAAAGAAAGCACTTTTTAATAAGTTTATTTCTCTTTATGCTGCCCCATGCCCTCTGGTGGATAACCTGTAACGGGTGGATAACCTGTTACACTTGTCCTAATTCTGGCTACCTGCTGGCTGGATAGCTATTGTGAAAGTCCTGAAGCACTGAATGAAAGAACGAACAATTGTATAATTAGTGCTGTGGGCTGACAGTTTTGTAAAAGTGGAATGCTCTTCTGCAACAGATGAATAATTAAACACTGCTCTTGTAATGCTTTTCGGGTTTTGTATGCTATGCCCTGACTGTACTTTGTGTCACCCAGTGGTTTTAAAACACTGCAATTTGTGTACACCAAGATTTCATTTTCCTCGAGTAATGCATTTGTCTGTGTAATTCACATAGCAACCTCTTGGTTTTTGTTACTTTGTATCTTGAGGAGGACCAAATCTGAATCAGATTAAGTTGGGAAGTTACTCTGTACCTCTTCAGCTTGCACTTGACAATGTGACTGCCCCAAAGAATAGCATGGTACCTGAGTAGCAAGCTAGCTCAATAGTAAGCTTTTTTCATGCTTTTTTCATTCTCTTCTGTTTTACACTTTTCCCAGAAACGGAAGCTCCAGTTAAGCCCAGAGCAATGCAGCATCTTTTATGCAGACCAGTATGGAAAAATGTTTTTTCCTAATTTAGCAGCCTATATGAGCTCTGGACCTTCAGTTGCTATGGTTCTTGCCAGACATCGTGCAGTCTCATACTGGAAGGAATTGCTTGGACCATCAAACAGCATAAAAGCTAGGATGACTCACCCTCACAGGTAACTCACTGGATTATTTGGTGGACTCAGTAGGATTTTGTCATTCTCTTAAATGAGATCAGAATTTCTTCTGCCTTCTACTGCTCTCCCTCTTTCAAATGAGGTAAGGATTTTTAGTGTTATCTCTTTAGTTTGTTTGTAACATAAGTTTTCACCTTTGCATATGTAAAATTCACCCTTTTTACAGAGAATGCTGAATGTGTGAACACAAATTTTAATCTGCTACTTAATTTGTTTGAAAACAAAACAAATCACACCACAGCCTTGTTATATAGCTTATGTGTATTGCTTTTATACTGTAGGGACTTTAAAGGTATTTGCAGTTGCCTGCTCAGCAGTTCTTTCTCTTGCTTTTAGTTTAAGGGCGATCTATGGGACTGATGATCTGAGGAATGGACTTCATGGCAGTCTCAGCATATTCTCAGCAGAAAGAGAAATTCGATTCATGTTTCCAGGAGGTAAAATGATGCAAAAAATATATGTGTTGCCAGCCTTTGGGAGCATAGCATCCTTCTCTCTTATTGCCTCTGTTCAGACTCTAGATATAATTTAATTTAGAAGGGTTCAGCTTGTTTGCTTTGTGCAAATGTGTGTTTATTTATGTTGGTATTTTCTCCTGCAAAAAGCATACCAATATCTATTTGAAGAGCCATTATAGTTACAATGAGTGCTTCTACTTTTCAAACTCCATGGTTTGGGAACTGGAGCAGATAAAACTGCAAATAAAACTGGAAGCTATTATACTCTAGCATGTTCTTCTGGCAGTGATCAGACCAGGAGCTCCTGTTGGCTTGAGAAGATCCCGCTTGGGCTCAGGCTGAGCAGTGTCTGTTCAACAGCAACTGTTGACTCACATGACAGGTGCTTTTCCTAAGGTAAATGCTAGAGAAATGGACCATAGTACCTGGAAAGACTGGGAAATGGTCTCTTGTTTATAAAGTAACATTTCAATTATTATTTTAGTCTTTGACAGAAAGATGCAAGGGGAACCGCCTAGAAAAGCTTGTTATATTTCCTACCTTACCTCGTCTAAACCATGAGTCTTCATATTTGCTAGCAAAGCTAGACTTAACATGAAATTTTTTTGGTGTTTTCAGAAACCAGAGCCACACTGCAAGAAGGAAGTAATCAATATGGAATATATTCTTGCTCTCCTACCTTCTAATGAATCTTCACAGATATAGATGTTACTCCAGATAGTCTGAGTTTCTTCCCTCTCCTAACTGGTTATAATTAGAAAGATTTCCTCAGTGACATTGTAAAGGGGTTTAAATGGTTTCTTTGCAGTTTGTTGTGTGAAAATCTTCATAAACTATTATATACTATTAACTTAGATGAGCTTCCATTTACCTTAATGTTACTATAAACAACCTATGAAA